ATTACCCCTATTTATTCTAAGCAATTATAAATTAACTATCTACATGATGACAGTTTAAATATGCACACAGAAAGCAATAAAAGGAAGGACTTTAAGAAGAAACCTTTGAAGCGTGCTTTTATATATTTCGTAAAACTGGGAAGCTTTTTGGCGTTCCCTCGCTCTTTTTGGGTATATCAAAAAACAACAAAAATTTAAAAAAAAAATGCCAGAATTTACATCGGACTACACCATAGCCGACGTAAATTTACGTCGGACACACCATGTCCGACGTAAATTCTTGCATCTATTTTTTAACATTTGAAGCCCTATTTTACGTCGGTCATAGGGCATATCCGACGTAAATTTACTTCGTCTGTCACAGCCAACGTAAATTTACGTCTCTCGCATTAACGTCGGAGTCGTTTCTGACGTAAAATCCTTAAAATATCCGATGTTAAAGACCCTTTTTATACTAGTGAATGCTGTAAGACACATGATGATATACGATATTAAAAAATTAAGAATAATAATTATAAATGTTAGTATATAAAAGTTGTCAAGGGAATAATTGGTAGAACAATAGAAACTTATTTGAATTTAGAGAGCAGTAGTAGTGGTGGTAATTGTTGTTGTTGTTACAATGAAGTCTCAATTTGCCTATTTATAGGCATGGTTCTAATTCCACCCCTGCTCCTTGATGCAAAATTCGGTAACTCCAAGCATAATCCATAGTTGTTCAAAATTTGCTCTTGGTAGTGCCTTTGTAAATATGTCTACAACTTGATCTTCTGTTGAGCAGTATTCAAGTTGACTTTGCTTAGTTATCTCTGCTTCTCTGATGAAGTGATATTTGATGGCTATGAGTTTTGTTCTTTGATGATGAACTGGATTCTTTGCCATTGCTATTGCTGATCTATTGTCACAGTAGATAATAGTCGGTCCATCTTGTTGTTCACTCATTTCTTCAAGTATTCTCCATAACCATATTGCTTGACTTGTAGTTTTAGCTGCTGCTATATACTCTGCTTTTGCTATTGATTGTGCAACTATTGCTTTCTTCTTTGATGCCTAAGAGAAAAATCCAGATCCTAGTGAGAAGGCATATCCTGATGTACTCTTCATGTCATCTATTGATCCTGCCCAATCACTGTTGGTATAGCCAATCATCCTTGATTTGGTCATGGTTTTCTACCATATACCGAACTCCTTTGTGCCTTATAGATATCTCAATATTCTTTTTCCTATTCCATAGTGAATTTGACTTGGCCTTTGCATGAATCTTGATAGAAGACTTGTGGCATACATAATGTGATCGAATCACACTAAGGCCAAGAAGACCAAAAGGTGATATATTGAAGAAGGCAAGAAGAATGAGTTAGTTTTGAAAATCATAAGAGGAGTGGGCCTACTTTTAGGCCTTAGCTCCTACATTTTTTTTATTAGTATAAGATTTATTCCTATTTTACCCTTATCTTTAATTTCCTATTATATCCTTATATTTTAGGTACCTTAGACATAGGATTTATTTATCTTGTATTTCCTATTTTACACTTGTATTTTGGAGTGTCTTAGTTATAAGATTTATTTTTACTTGTATTTCCCATTTAACCCTTGTATTATGGGGTGCCTTAGATTATAATAGGATTTTATTTTATAACTAGGGTATTTTATTAGGGTGAGAAAATAAGGCCTAGATGTGTTTTTTCATAGCCTTGGATTTATTTTTTGACTTGGCAAGGTTTAGGCCCAAGTGGAGGGCACCTACGTTGCATGGTCTTATCATGCACCTAGATATAGCTTAACCAAACCCAAAGATTCCATCATTGGCCACCAAGTAGCATCTAGGGTTAATTTAGGTTTCATTTGAAGTGCATTTGGATTGCACACTACAATAAATGAGCTACACAATAGAGGTTATTTTTACATTTAGTGGAGGGTTTTACCCTCCACAAAATAAATCGCAGAGGTTTCTAAAAACCTCTGTAGTTACATTCACTGCAATAAATTAGCGGCACTTTTTAGAAACCTCTAGTATTGTGAGTGTTTAGCGGCAGTTTTGTTAAAAGAGGTTTTAAACCTACACTAATAGTGGAGGTTTTTTAAATGATGTTTTAAAGTTATGCTAACTGCAGATGTTTTTTAAAGGAGGTTTTAAAGTTATGCTAACTGCAAAGGTTTTTTAAAGGAGGTTTTAAAGCTATGCTAATGTTATTTAGTGGAGGTTTTAAAGTAAATTAACTATTACAATCATTAATCAATATATTTTTGTGGAGTTTCTAATCCTCCCTATTTTCCTATGTATAATAATTTTTATACTCATTTTAATTGCATAATCTACATGTATTACAATTTCCCATTTTCACTTTTGATATTTATAAGAAACTTAATGAAAAAAAATACACATAAAATGGATGAAGAAATTCCATTACTAATAACCAAAAACATAACATATAGTTCAAAGATTTATAATTCAAACTTCTATTATAAATCCAAGTACAACATAAAATCCATAACATTGTCAAATTAGCCTCATACTAAACTTTAAATCCAAAATACTTTATATGCAAACTAAGGGTTGCTAGCACCAAATGATCCTCTTGCATCCAAAGGTGTATTAGGAACACTTGAAGCATCGATTGGCTGATATAAGAAAAGAAAAAACACTCAGTCAAGAAAAATATATATCACAAATATTATATGATAATGACAATTCCAAACACACATGACTATATTATCCAAGGACCAAAATAGACCAACCAGTTAACGTAACCAGCAACATAACCCATAGTTAAAACTAGAACTACAGACCAACAACTCCATGAAGCCAAAACATAATAGCAACACCAAACCAGAGATGTGTAGCAGCCAACTAGTTCCTAACCCAATAACCAAGGACTAAGAGTAGTCCATTTAGACTCTAAACAACCAAAACTAGAACTAAACCAACAAAACATCTAGCCAAACCAAAAATTGCAATAGAAATCATATTTCAAACCATGCAACCAAATATTATAAGCCAACAAAGCAACCAACCAAACCAGAAATTGCAGTAGAAATCATGCAACAAACCATGCAGCCAAAGACCATGAACCAACAAAACAACCATTCTAACCAGAAACTACAACAGAATCATGATATAAACCTTGCAATTAAAGAGTATGAACCAAAAAAATAGCCACCAATACCAAAAATTGCAACATAATCATGCTACAAACCATGTAGATAAAGATACCACACATATTATATAATAATATATGCACATTAATTACTTACATGTGTTTCAGGAGTGAAATAACTAGCTAATTTTTCAGGGATCCTTCTTTCATGTAGGCCTTAAAAGCTGATTCTAAATTGTTGTATTTCTCTTGCCATTGGTTTAAAGATGGAAAGGCAACACCAGATGAAGAAGAGCTCAAGCTAGAAACACAAAGTCTTGTATTCTTAAATGTATTAGAAGGAACAACACCCAATCCCATGCATCGTACTCTCCTAGAGTGCTCTGGCCCTAGCACTCTACCAACAACATCTAGAGGAGAAACTTCATATTCATCAACTATGCTTTGAGTCAAACCTACTTGAATTTGTTCTTACAAACATGTAACAATATCAAATATAAAAAAGTTTTAAGATTAAACACAATCCTTGAAATCAATGTTTCTAAAGAAAAATTTACCACTATAGTCTTTGCTGCATCATTTACAAATGATCCATCTTTCCTTTTATGAGTTTCAATATATAATTGTCCATGACTTGGTACCTTCCGTGTTTCTAGCAACTAAGATAAATAAAGAGTGAGTAAATATTGAAAACATTTTAATTAGTAAAGTTAACATTTAGTGTCATTACCAACTCATTTCTTCTTCTAAGATTAACTTTGGAGCCACCAGTGTGTGGAATAACTTGCTTGCTTCGAATTTCTTTATTTCTCTTATAAAGTTCCTATAGGCAAAGCAATTAAAAATTTTCAACTTCACATAGTAATCATATAATTATCCAGAAAAATAAATTAATATTTAAAACAATCAAATTTGTACCTATGTTGATGGTTTTTTACGATAATGAACAAAACGAGCCTATTGATCTTTATCTATGC